AAAGGTGTATTTTCGAGTGGAAACAGTTAAATCTAATATCGAAAATGGGTGCGAGTGAGGTGTCGTGTGCATTTGCTCCACAGCTGGTACTAACCCGATTTGTAAGCAATCTTTTGACGCTGGCCTGACCGTCTGATGACAAATGTAAATACTGGTCGAATACTCCCAGTCGACGAACTAACTGCGCGCAACCCACACGACGAATTGAAGCAATTTTTAGAACCCTCTTAGGATCTCATACAGCGACACCGCATCGGAAATTATGAAAAGTAGAAAATGTCCTTGTATACGTGTACCACATGTGACTAGCATTCGCGATACACCCGTATCCTTGATTATTACTGATATGGAGTTATCCGAAATAGCAAAAGAGAAAGTTGGGAGATGACGGTGAGTGATCGATTGTTTCTGCCTGACGCCACAACATGCACCAGTGCCCGTGGCACCTTTGTGGTGGAGCGTGCATTCGGAGCTGGTTTCACGAGAAACCTCTTCAAGAGCAGACAGTTCGAGGGAACTCCAAGTGCTAGAGTCTTTGATCTCTATGAGAATATGAATGAGCTTACAGTAGTACTAGACGTAAGGGTGGATAGAGCTTGTATACGACTGATTGTGAACGCATGGATGGAACTATTTGAGTTCTAAGTGACCTCTTGTACGCTTCATTCCCAAGTCTGCATGGCGCTTAATAATCTGAGCTCTCGCTTCGCTTCCTCTTTCGCTCTCTTTGGCTCGCAGTGGCTTCCTGCGCTTGTCCGGATGCTAGCCATTCCTCCTTCCGTTCCTGATGGAGCCGCCCTGCAACAGTACATTTTTTGTGATCACTAATACATCGATCGCATGAAAAGCTGGACGGGAACCGATTCCAGACGCAAGGAGCTCGTATCCTTGTACATTTGTCGCACTTTATTGAAGCGTAGCTGGTCTCGTCATTAGAGTGTCCCTATCCAATGCAAAGAAAGCTCTTGGGTACTTACAACTGTTTGAGTTGGTCAGTAGAAAGACTTTCCGGTTGGTGTATCTCGGTCGCTTTGCACTTCTCTACGATATCCCCCCATTCCTTTTCCTTCTCCTTTCGCATCTGGTACCATCGCCTCCATTCCACAACCGCGGCCTCTTGAGTCTGCTTGGCCTTTTTGTGAGCCGCTTCAGCCTTGTCGAGAACTTCTTTGGCTCGTTTATAGTCCTCCTGCGCACGGTTATGAGCAGCTTCTGCTCGATCACAGGCATCTTTGGCCTGGCGGAGGGAATTAGACCATTCTTTTTCCTTATCTTTGCGTCGTTTGAGTTCTATCGAAGCTTGATGTAGACTAGACATGGAGGACACGTTGGATTGTTGTGGTGATGGTACCAGATGCGAAAGGAGAAGGAAAAGGAATGGGGGGATATCGTAGA